CTCCCTCTGAAGATTAGAACCAGCCAGTGCCAGGTGGGCCAACCGAGATGTGTCCTTCTTGGTGCTCTTGGGAGCTTCCCACACCCCAGGCTAGGGGGTGCCCCTTTGGTCCTAGGGGTGATCTGGTATCTTTCTTGCTTTTGGGATTCTGAGGGGTCCTGGCATCTCTGGGGGCAAAATGGAGATTTCTAATCATGTGCTATCTGAATTTAACCTAAAAGTCAGTAAGCCACCATGCCAGCTATTTCTTCAGTGAATCCCTAGTGAGACATAGAAGCAAACAAACTTGGGCTCTGTAACTTTGGCTAATGAAGGTCAAAAGTCAACTGAAACCAGACTTGCAAGAAAGTGCTTCATCATAGGGGTGAGATTCAGGACTTCCATGTCAAACTTTCAGGGGCTCTACAAAAACCATGAAACAAGAGCTTGTCCTGGGAACACAGGTTATACATAAATAACCTATTATATATTATGACACAGAAAGTTCAGGTAAACAGACGGAAGCCAGTAGGGTTGGCACAGTGTCTTTGTCCATCGCTTGGTATGGCAGGATTTATAGCGATTCCATCCTTGAGCATGGAGTGATAACGGAACCCATGATAAACATGCAAGGCACAGTGCTAAGTGCCTTAGGTATATTTTCCCATTTAATCCTCACAACAACCTTATGAAGTAGGTACTATTACATCTCTATTATGCAGAAAACACTTTGCTCAGAGAGGTTAAGTCATGTGTGCAGGCTCAGCTGGATGGAAGGTGGAGGAGCTTCCAGAGCTCGTGTTCTTAGTGTTCTCCCCTTTAGAGGTTCTTTGCTACTACTGAGGGGGTGGAGGGGATGTTTCAAGGTGTTGAGCCTCATGGATTTTCCTGCTACAGGTTAATGGATGTGAGAATAAAATCCTCCCTTTCATTTAGATTAACTGTGCCAACCAATTAATTGTGAGAACATGAGGCTGAGAGACTCCAACTCTTCAAATGTGCTAGGTGAAATGAAAAACTCCTTCTTGACTTAATTGTAGTTGCTTTAAATAGCAATGTTGAATCTTCATGTGGGACTTTCAGTCATGGCTTTGGACCACCTTCCTCTTGAAAGTAAGTTGAGAAATCTACAATTCCTAGGTAGATGAACAAAAAAATATCCCCTGTCCCTGACAAACAATCATTTACAAAACCAACAAAATTGCAGTAAGATTTTCTCATTTTGTAGGGGATTTTTTTTTGTTTTTGAGACAGAGTCTTGCTCTTTCGCCCAGGCTGGAGTGCAGTGGCTGGATCTCGGCTCATGGCAAGCTCCGCCTCTGTAGGGGAATATTTTAAGGACTGTTTCTCTACTTACCTTGAAAATTATGGACATCTTCACCTGGGACTTGGGCAACAAGGTCCTCAGTGGCACCATCGCTGAATGACCAGACTTGAAGGCAGGGCAGCTTGAAAGGTGGTGTAGGGAACAGCACAGTGGTGTGGAAAATTTGGCTATCTATCCCATGACTTGAACTAGCCCCCATCACCTTCCCTCAGCTTGCTTCACTGACTTGAGATGGGAAGAAGAATACCTGCTCTCCCCACCTTGCTGGTCATAGGCGTTCCTGGAGAACATGTCAAATAATGAAGGTCCACATGCAACTTGTATGTTGTGTGACTCATTTTGCTCATTGTAAATACTTGACTCACACTTTCTAGATGCCAGGTACTGTGCTTTATTTTAACTCATTTAATCCTTACAACAGTCCCACAAGGAGATATTACTTTTATCTGGATTTTGCAGATGAGAAAATGAAGGCACATAGGAAGCAATTTGCTCAGGGTCACTTACAACTAGCACATTGTGTGATATTGTAATATAATGAGAAATATATTTTTAGTCTTTGTCTCTAGTTCCTAGCAGAGAGCTTCTGAAACTCTTGTGCTTTCCTGAGTGATGGGGTGAAAGGCGAATCCTTTGTTATTCATCATAAGCCATTTTCAAACATACCTGAGTTATATAATGCTAATAAGGTAACTCTCGGTGAGCCTCAAGATAGTCTCAGAATAGGGGCTGGTTGCTAGAGGAACAAATCACTTGATTAGAGAATTGGAATTTTCAGTCCCTCACCCTGACATCTGGAGAGGGAGAGGGATGAGATTGAATTCAATCACCAATGGCCAATGCTTTAATCAACCATGCCTATGTAATGGGACATATGAACCCTAAACAACATAAAAATCCTTAACAGGGTTTGGTGAGCTTTTGGATTGATGAACACATTGAGGTGGTAGAAGGCTAGAGTTCAGAAGATGACATGGGAAGACATGGAAGCTTTGTGTCCCTTCCCATATACTTTGCTCTGTGCATCTCTTCCATTTGGCTTTTCCTGAGTTGTATCCTTTTATAAAAAACCAGTATTAGTCACTAAACTGTTTTCCTGAATCCTACGAGCTGTTCTTTCAATTTATCAAATCTGAGAAGGTTTCATAGAAACCCCCAGCTTATAGCTGGTTGGTCAGAAGTATGGGAAGCTTGGGACCTGTGATTAGCATCTGATATGGGGGCTGTCTTATGGGACTGCGCCCTTATAGGATCTGATGCTAATCACATAGATAGCATCAGAGAATTGAATTAAATTGTAGGACACCTAGTTGGTGTCTGGAGAGTTGAAAATTAGTCGTTGGTGTGGAAAAATCCACACACTTGGTGTCAGAAGTGTTGTGAGTATAAACAGATCGTAGTAACATGGTATAGCCAGACTAAAACCCAGGCTGTCTGAACACAGTATGTTTCTAATAATTGCTATAGTCCTCTATCTGACTTCCTTCAAAGTATATTTAGTTTTGACATATCTTTTTTCTTCTGGTGGTAGTGAGGGTTCTAATATTTCTGAATAAAGAGGTAATATGTTTGTGCAGCCTAAAGGAGGCCAGAACTACAGCTTAACTGTTGTGAGACCCTGTGGCCTTCAGATTTCAGAATCTTGCCTTGTGGAAGATCATGGATCAGTTTGAGGACTCTGATGTTTTTATTTTATTAGGTATTTCAAATGCACTACTGTTTTTTTTCCCCTAGAGAATATAATATTGTGTCTATATTGTATTTTTGTAAATTGTAAAATTACTTCTGTAGTCACATCATTCATTTATATCATTGATATGTGACTTATAGTTGAGTTTGTGCCTCCTTGACAACAGTGATTATTGGTGTGCCTCTCAACATCCAGCAGAATGTGGGAATGCAAGTCACCCAGCAAAAATCTATTGATTTTATTTGTTTTTATTAATTTAAAAAATTACAACAACCTGTGTTCAGTGTGGAACAAATAAAATAATGCCAAAATGCCAATGAAAAGAAAGATAAAACCTCCTATAATCACACCACTCTGTGATAGTTATATAAAAGCAATATCTGCAGAGTTTTGTTTATAAAAGGCTGTGATTCAAGAATTTTATACCCAGCCAGGTTGTCTTTTATGTGTGAAAGTGACAGAAATATATTCTCTGTAGACCACGTTTCAAAAAAATTCTATGATAGGCAATTTTCCTGGGCAAGATTTAACATGAGTCTCTGTTGAAAAAAGTGCATGAAGATAAATTCCAGGTGACCAAGGGTAATAGATGCTAGAGTGAATGGTTAAAATAGGAAAGCTAGAGTATAAAAAAGGTTGGGAGCAAACACTGAAGCCAGTTAATGTACATTTATTTATATATCTAGTTAATTATACATATTAATTAATATTGTGTTTGTGACTATATATAAATGCTTTAATTGTATTTCTCTTTATAAAATAAAAGCAAATATAAACATATCACCTAGAACATATATAGTACAATAATAATTATGTGGTAATCTGAATCTATACCTCCAACTAGTATCATCAAAATCTAAGACGGAAGCTCTGGGAATGGGTGGGTTGAAGGAATGGGCAGAAACAGTATGAGTGGAAATGGGGGCTGGGGTGGATTTCAAGGCATGTGACTTGGACTACTAATCATTTGAACCTGGGGTTTGTTTATGCCCTGAAAATGAAATGTTATTAGTCAAGTGAGGATGATGATTATTTTAAGTAATGCTATTCCTTAAAATATTTAGCTAAGTGATTTCTTATTTTTTTTTTTTTTGAGACGGAGTCTCGCTCTGTCGCCCAGGATGGAGTGCAGTGGCCGGATCTCGGCTCACTGCAAGCTCCGCCTCCCGAGTTCACGCCATTCTCCTGCCTCAGCCTCCGGAGTAGCTGGGACTACAGGCGCCCGCCACCTCGCCCGGCTAGTTTTTTGTATTTTTTAGTAGAGACGGGGTTTCACCGTGTTAGCCAAGATGGTCTCGATCTCCTGACCTCGTGATCCACCCGTCTCGGCCTCCCAAAGTGTAGCTAAGTGATTTCATGGCTTTTAGGCAATTACATAATTTCTGCATTTTGTTTGTTTTTGAGCCTTGTTTTCTCTGAGTTCCTGTTTTGCTGCTAATCTTCAGTGTGTGTTTCTGAAAGTAACCATGATGACGGGAAGCATATTTTTCTGTATGCTTATGACTGGTGTCTGACTACCCTACTGGTACTAGAGATTAAGAGACACTTTCCTGTAATTAATATTTTCCCCTGTGTTTCGTCTGAAAGTTGTTAAATTGAAGCTGGAATTATAGATGTGTGTACATCTCTCTTTAAGGAAACATACAAAACAAATGGGAATTTACCAGATGATATCATTCTCCACTGACTGAATTTATGTATGACACTTCTTGAATGTAGTTTTCTTATAATGTGGGGGCACACTTGCATTGGAAATAGCTTCTTTGAGAAATGTTGGATGTTGCAATTTGATAATATCTTATGTGTGTGTTTGTGTGTAGGGGGGTTGGGAAGGAAGGGAGGGTAAGGAAGGATTCACAGTGTTCAGAAGAGGACTGATGAGGCTCCCTCCACGAGCAGGCTAGTAGCGCAAGCCTAATCAACACTTCTGCGAGGAAGTTAGCAGCCTTCCTCCTGACCTGACTGCTTCCACTTCTGGTGGTGGCAATGCTGTCAAGCCTCATTACTGGAAAGTTCATCTTGTTAAATTTCCACTTAGAGCAGGGGATGTGTTAGGAGATAGCTCAGACTCTGTGGCCATTATGACATCAAATTCAGACAGAGACAGTCCAAGTGGTAGTCAAGGAGTTTTGTTTATAGCCTCATTGAAAAATGTGAACATTGGCTGAGCACGGTGGCTCACAACTGTAATCCCAGCACTTTGGGAGGCTGAGGTGGGTGGATCATTTGAGGTCAGGAGTTTGGGACCAGCCTGGCCAACATGGTAAAGCCCTGTCTCCACTAAAAATACCAAAAAATATTTAGCTGGGCGTGGTGGTACATGCCTGTATTCCAGCTACTTGGGAGACTGAGGCAGGAGAATTGCTTGAACCTGGAAGGTGGAGGTTGCAGTGAGTTGAGATTGCACCACTGTACTCCAGCCTGGGTGATGGAGTAAGACTCCATCTCAAAAAAGTAAAAAAATGTGAACATTAATAAATGACTTAAGAAGTCATCGTATCTGCATACTACTGGATTAGATTTAACAGATTCAATCTTGGCTGAATAATGAAGGGAGTTTGGCATGAGTTCCAGGGTCAAAACAGAAGTAAAAACAAAACCAGTGATGGGCAGAGGCTTGAAATATATTAGTACATCCACCAGGTAGTGCTGCATTAATAAATAAAGTCAGAAATCTTAGAGGGTGAAGGCAAAAAAGGCTTATTTCTTGCTCGCATAAAGTCCTATATAGGTTAGGCGATCCTCTGGGCAGCACTCCCTCTGTCTTGTTATGCTGCCATCTCAACAGGTGGCCTCAAGGGTTGCCAAGGCAAAGGACTAGAGGTCACTTCCTTATGCTGTGGACCAGGAGAAACACATATGACTTCTGCATACATTTCACTGGCTATAGAGAGCTGGGGAGTGGAGACTTCCTGAGTGACAGGAGGAGGGAAGGGTACAGGTGAGCACTAGAAGCCTCTACCACACATGGGAAGCGAATGTGTATGGTCAGCGTGGAATCGGGAATGGCCAGAGTCTGATGTTATGAATATTCAGCATGGGATTAATATATATTGAACCTAATAATATCTTCATAAATTTTAAAATAATCAGCCTCTTTGGATACCTTCCTTGGCCACTGGCATACCTTAGTAGGATTACCTACTATTAACATGCGGTCTGGTCCATCTGCCTAACGTTCTGGTATCCTCCCTGCCTTGCAAGGGTCGTCCCTCACTCTGTGAGACCCATAGCTGCATGACATAGGCAGTAAGGGTGTGTTGAGACCTTACCAGGGCATGCTCTCGACACCTCCAAGTGCTCTCCTGCTGCTGCTGTTCCAGACATGCCGACACAGGCCCTGCAAAGCACTTTCCTGTCTGGTGAACTTCTATTGCTTCTCTGTATAGTGTGGTTGGTTGAAAGAGTGGTTTTAGGAGATAGACTGTCTAGGTCTAAATTTTGTCTCTGTCATTAGCGAATGAGACCCTGAGCAAGGGACTTAACTTCACTGTACCTCAGTTTTCTCATCTGTGGATATAATAATAACACCTTCCTGTTAGAGTTGTTGTGATAATTGAGTTAATACACAAAAAGCACTTAGAATAGTGCCTGGCGAGTGGAAAGTGATTAAAAAACATCAGCTGTGATCACTCTTCTTCAAGACTCAGTTCAAATGTAACTGAAACTTCCCTGAACTTGCTTCTTTTCTGGGTGCCTTCAGATTCTGCAAATGTCTCTGTTATAACATTTATCATGGTATATAATAATTATTAATTTACCCATTCTTCTTTCCGTTAGACTGTGATTACTCAAGGGCAGTGTACTGCTCACCATTTACTCTAGTCCCTGACAGAGTGTCTAACATGTAAAATAGATTACCAAGTATTTTCTGAATTGATGGGCAGAGCCAGGGTGGTAGAAATTGCTACAATTCACCAGTATACAGTTCTCCTCTCCTTCCTGTGCACAAAGCAAAGCTACGTTTCCCAGCTCCCTATGCATCTAGAAGAACCATATAACTGAGTTCTGGAATGTGGGCAGAAATGATGTGTGCCACTTTTCATAAACTCAATGCACAATTTTCCATAGCTCCTTCTCTTCCTGTCATTCAATTGGCTGGATATGGTAGCATTTTAAGATAGAACAAGCCCAAATCTCTGAGTCACCACTTGGAAGAGAGGGACCTAGACTTTAAAATTGTGTCAAGCTTTTGAAATCTGAACCTGTTTGTTATAGCAGTCAGTGTATTTTACCTAGCTAATAAAACAAGAATCTGGACACAACAACATTTTTTTCTGCAGGTTTCATGGCATGATATGACTCAATCCACAGACAAAAGCTGCTGAGCCCGGGACAGCTTATTGGACCAGCCCATATGAGAAGCACAAATGTATAGAAACAAACTGAACCCAAGGAAAGATTGGTGATACTTTGGGAGGGATGACAGAGGAAGGGGAAACACATTGTCCATCCCTGTCCCAGCAAGGAGCCAGCTCCCATTCAGCAGTCTCTGTGAACATCTAGGTAGCTTCCCCATTCTTTCTGTCCAGTTGTGAGCAGCCACCAACTATGATTCCCCTCTTCCAGCAGGCTTTGCTTTCACATCACAAAGCATCATCCTGAGAAACAATTACAGTTATTTTTAGAGTTCTGTTTCCTTCATAGGTACCTATTGTCCTAATAAATGGAATTCCTTGGAACACAAAAGCATTTATTTCTTCTTTTAGCTAATTTAATTTTTACAGCTCTGGTGAAAAATATTTTATGTTTTTACTCAATGTGATTTTAAGACAGTTTATTCTTGGATTCAATTTTGTTTTCATTTTCTAGAAAATCAATTTGATTCACAGAAGGTTCATTCATTTAGTGGCTTTCCTTGCACATGGTTAATGCTTAAGCATTTGATCAAGCATACCTCTTAGCAATATCTTTACAAGGTTCAACCGGAGAAGGTGTTAGATGGGGGAAATCCTCTACATTTGGGCAAAGCCTCTTTCCTCTGGACTAATTGAAATGGAAAATCAGTCTGAATTGGTGAAATTGAATTGCAAACTATTTTTCAAGGAGATTCCTGTGTGATTTCAAGTTGCTCAAACTAAACTTAGTAAAGGGCACACTAACAAAGCTTTTTAGGTCATCTCCATCTAGCTTCCTAATGAAGAGGCTACATTGGGTAAATACCCGGGGTTCGTCATTTCACGCCAAGAAAATTTAGGACACGGACACACAGGAGTTTAGGAACAGAGATTTAATAGGCAAAAGAAAGGGAAAGGGAAACAGCTCGCTTTCTAGAGAGAGAGAGGAGACTTCTGAGAGGAAAAGGCCAGCTGGTGGCAGATGGCGCCAGATTTTATAGTCCGGCTTGAGGAGGCGTTATCTGATTTATGTAGGGCTCACACATTGGTTCAATCAGGTGTGACGTATACAAAGCATGTGGGGAAGGCTGGCCACCTCACCCTAATCTTATTATGCAAATGAGCATTCCCTTTGGCTGGGCCTTCATTTTGTCTGCTCCTTACTGTACACGTGGCTGGCAGAGAAGGGAAGAGGCAGTCGCCATTTTCTAGTCGCTGTGTCTAGTCCCAGGTAGTAGTTCTTTCCTGCTGGCATTCATCGTGAAAGCTCCCAGCGTGCTTGTCTATGTCTGCAGCTTGACTTCACAGGCTGCTCTTTGTTAGAAAATGATTTGGGGCAGCTTTTCTTTAAAAGATAAACCTTACCGAGGACTTCTGGACTATCTGCCTAAGTAATTTCTCTTAACTCCTGTATCACTAGTAGTTGGAATCTATATCTGTAGCTATATCTATCTTACAAAATTTTCCTGGGTTCTTGAAAACTCTTTGCTCTCAAGTCCTTTAAACATTCCTCTTGTACTTTTGTTTACTAAATTATGAAGAAAGACTATTAGCAAAAGGAAGTCCTTGTCTGTATAATTGTATTTTGTGAATTATAGGCTTTTATATTTAAAGTCAGGTGACAATTCATGCTTGGAAAGAAATTTCTTGACTAATTGATCATGGTTTTTTTGAGACAGGGTCTCACTGTGCTGTCCAGGCTGGAGTGCAACGGTGTGATATCGGCTCACTGCAGCCTCTGCCTCCGGGATTCAAGCAATTCTCCCACCTCAGCCTCCTGAGTAGCTGGGACTACAGGCTCATGCCACTATGCCTGTCTAAGTTTTGTATTTTTTGGTAGAGACAGGGTTTTGCCATGTTGGCCAGGCTGGTATCAAACTCCTGACCTCAAGTGATCCACCAGCCTTAGCCTCCCAAAGTGCTGGGATGACAGGTGTGAGCCACTGCGTCTGGCCTAATTGATCATGTTTTTAGTGTTATAACTAACGGATTTTTGGATTGAATGATAGGTGTTTTTGATTTGTTGGTGTGGCTTTGGAAAGGAAAACTGGCCCTTCTAAAGATATCAGTTCTTTCCTGGAAAGCAATGTCAGAGATAGCTATAAGGCAAGACTTGTGTTTTTCAGTGTGAGACATTGCTCCTTTATGTTTAGGGCACTGCTTGTGCTATAGCCTAGAGGAGGCATATTCTGGAAGAATGTGTTTCTCTGAAGTGAACTTTCAAGTTCAATGAACAGATTTTACTGACACATAGGAAAGTAGATGGTGGTCATGTAAAATGGAATATGCCACTCTTGATGTTTCCTTCTTTGTGTTATATTCTGTGCCCTCAGATTGGTCTTCAGTTACCCATGGTGAAACATGTAAGCCTTGAAAAACTTTTTGGTGAGCTCATAGATTATCTATAAGATGGTTTATGGTCATCTATATTATAGGGTAACAACATAAGTTTATCCTCCAAGTTTGGACACTTTTGAGAGTAAAAGGTGGAGTTATTAATATGTCAAGGAAATAAGCAAAAATGGGACTTTTCTAAGCAACCTAGACATATGGTCATTCTACTTATGAGAAATGTGTGTCTTTTATAGGTTAGATATCAGGTCCCATAAGAGCATGTGGCCAGATGGCCAGCTCCACCAAAGATTCATACTCTCCCTTCCATAGCATGGAGTTGTGTTGGGAAGCACTTTTCCCACCAGGGACAACATCTTCTAGTCCCTTTACATCTAAGTAGTACCATGAGACTGGATCATGCCAAAGAAATGTTTTGGAAGTGAAATGTTTCACTTTGGAACCAAGGAACTGAAAAAAACAAGTATGCCTCTACCTTCCTCACCTTCCTCTCCACCCATCTCTATCTCCCTCTGCAGACTGAATACAGAAGTCTCCAGGACCCTAGTGGAGGAAAGACCTACAAGATGGAATGATTCTGGGTCCCAAATGACCATGTGAAACACTGCCCGCTGGTCAGAAACATCCATATTGCAGTCTTTAGGGCACACAAAATTAAAATATATTAAGCCTCTTAGGTTGTCACATTTGTTATAGCAGCTAGCATTACCATAGCTAATACTGAATACTTTAATTCAATACATCCAACCGCTATTGAGAATCTACTATCTTTCCATTGGAAATACAAAGACATGTAAGATCTGGTCACTGTCCTCAAGAAGCTTAGAGTCTGGGGGAGGTACACATGCATATACGTAATGGTAATTTAAAGTTCTGAATAAAAGGAAATTAATTTAATTTTGAATGCTATTTGAGTTGTCTGCAGCATATTCAAATGGCACTATCTTCTATGTAGATAGAAGGAGCCCAAGCCAAGAAGAGAAGTCTGGTATCAAAGATTTGCTGAATTCAAAATTGCAGAGGCTTATGTCAGCCCCTTAGAAAGAATTTGAGGACTCCTTGGAAAGTAAGAGAACTTCCCTCCACATTCCTAAGGATTACTTATTTATTTTTATTTAAAAATGTTTTTTCTTTATTCTTTTTTTAAACTTTTAAGTTTGGGGTACATGTGCAGGTTTGTTACATAGGTAAACCTGTGTCATTGGGTTTGTTGTGCAGATTATTTTATCATACAGGTATTAAGCCTAGTATCCATTAGTTATTTCTCCTGATCCTCTTTCTTCTCCCACCCTCCACCCTCCAATAGGCCCCAGTGTGTGGTGTTTCCCTCTGTGTATCCATGTGCTCTCATCATTTAGTTCCCACTTATAAGTGAGAACATGTGGTATTTGGTTTTCTGTTCCTGTGTTAGTTTGCTAAGGATAATCACCTCCAGCTCCATCTGTATTCCTGTAAAAACATGATTTCATTCTTTTTAATGGCTGCCTAGTATTCTGTGGTGTATATTTACCACATTTTATTTATCCAGTCTATCATTGATGGGCATTTAGGTTGATTCCATATCTTTGTGATTGTGAATAGTGCTACAGTGAACATGTGGACATGTGTCTTTATGGTAGAATGATTTATATTCCTTTCAGTGTATACCTAGTAATGGGATTGCTGGGTTGAATGGCATTTCTGTCTTTAGGTCTTTGAGGAATCGCCATACTGTCTCCCAAATAGTTGAACTAATTTACACTCCCACTACAGGACATAAGCATTCCTTTTTCTCCACAATCACACCAATATCTTTTTTTTTTTTTTTAATTATAGCCATTCTGACTGGTGTTAGATGGGATTTCATTGTGGTTTTGATTTGCATTTCTCAAATGATAATTGCTGTTGAGCTTTTTTTCTTATTATTGTTGGCTGTATGTATATCTTCTTTTGAAACATGTCTGTTCATGTCCTTTGCCCACTTTTTAAAGGGGTTATTTTTTTCTTGTAAATTTGTTTAAGTTCCTTACAGATGCTGGATATTAGACCTTTGTCAGATGCATAGTTTGCAAAAATTTTCTCCCCTTCTGTAGGTTGTCCGTTTACTCTGTTGATAGTTTCTTTTGCTGTGCAGAAGCTCTTTAGTTTAATTCGATCCCATTGATCAATTTTTGCTTTTGTTGCAATTGCTTTTGTTGTCTTTGTCATGAAGTCTTTTCCTGTGCCTATGGCCTGAATGGTATTGCCCAGGTTGTCTTTCAGGGTTTTTATAGTTTTGGGTTTTACATTTAAGTCTTTAATCCATCTTGTGTTAATTTTTGTATATGGTGTAGGGAAGAGGTCCAGTTTTAATCTTCTGCATATGGCTGGCCAGGTAGGTATTCCAGCACCATTTATTGAATAGGGAATCCTTTCTGCATTGCTTGTTTTTGTCAGGTTGTCAAAGATCAGATAGTTGTAGGTGTGAGGTCTTATTTCTAGGTTCTCTATTCTGTTCCATTGGTCTATATGTCTGTTCTTTTATCAGTACCATGCTGTTTTGGTTAGTGTAGCTCTGTAGTATAGTTTGAAATTGGGTAGTGTGATGTCTATAGTTTTGTTCTTTTTGTTTAGGATAGCCTTGGCTATTTAGACCTTTTTTGGTTCCATGTGAACTTTAAAAATAGTTTTATCTTGTTATGTGAAGAATGTCAATGGCAGTTTAATGGGAATAGCGTTGAATCTATAAATTGCTTTGGGAAGTATGGCCATTTTAACGATACTGATTCTTCCTATCCATGAGCATGGAATGTTTTTCCATTTGTTTGTATGATAAAGATGCTTTAGATGCAGCTGCACCGTACCCTATTAGAGCTCACTCCACCAGTGGGATCTGTGCTCTAAAGATCTCTTGGCCACTGACTTCATATTGAGAAAGAAAAGGAAGCCAGAACTTCCTTGTATCTGTAGATCCTTTTTGTAGTTTACACATTACTTTCATGAACATTACTTAGTTTGAATCTCATATTCA